ATCCACATCAAGTGTGTGGATTGGGCAATCAAGTCAGTTTTTTTGTTCAACCCACTGGTTTTACGGGAAAAAATATATGTTAATGAATCATATACACTCACAGGCCACTTTATTAGGTACACCTTGCTAGTGCCAAGAAAATATCCCCCACACCATTACACCACCAGCCTGAACCGCTAATACGAGACAGGATGGATCCATGCTTTCATGTTGTTCATGCCAAATTCTGACCCTACTGTTGCCTTTCTATCATCTCAAACCAGTCTGCCCATTATCCTCTGACCTCTGACATTAACAAAGCATTTACGTCCTCACAACTGCCACTCACTGGATATTTTCACTTTTTTGGACCATTCTCTATAAACCCTAGAGATGGTTGTGCGTGAAAATCCCAGTAGATCAGCAGTTTTTTAAATACTCAGATCAGCCTTTCTGGAACCAACAACAATGCCACATTCAAAGTCACTTAAAACCCCTTTCTTCCCCATTCTGATGCACAATTTGAACTTCAGCAAGTCTTCTTCACCACATCTAGATGGTAGGCTCATATAGTTGCTGCCATGTGATTGGCTGATTAGCAATTTGTATTACTAAGCAATTGAACAGGTGTACCTAATAAAGTGGCCTGTGAGTGTAGGTTCGTTAGCCAACATTTTGAGGCTACACCAGCTCCTTTCCTAAGGATGACCCACCGCTTACTGTATATTTTTGTAATAAATTATGTTCTACAGGCATTACTGGAATGGGGCTCTTCATTCTAAGCTAAAGTAACATGGATTCACACCCTCTCCCTATAAGCACCAACAACACTGTTCAAATGATAAATAAGAAATCCAGTTGGTTTCACACTCCTGCAGGAAAGTGGAATATCAGGTTCAGGTAGAATGTCCCATTAAATTTATGTGTTTGTATGCTGACCATTAAAAGAAGCAGACACACATTAGGCGTACATCTGCAATGACATTGACACATACTATATACTGAGAAATATTTATAGCTGTGAGGTGACTGAATTGTGCACACATTTAGTCAATATCATAGAAAGCATACAGTTATATCCAATCTGTTTTATATGGTGCATACACTGCATACACATCACTTAATGAAGGATGGGTGTTCCTGTCCGGCTTGTCACCTTCTTTCAGGAATGTGTAAAGTCAGCAGTGATAGCTGCCAGCTTCCTGCTTCAGTAGTGATAAGTTCACAAGATAAGACAACAAACACAGTTAATCACACAGCTTTGCCATACTAAAACCTCACAATTGTATGAAATATTACATTAGAAGTATAGTTCTACTATGTTATGGAGGACATTCTTACAAAGAAGTAATAGACATGTGGGTGCTCGCTGGGATTTGAAAGTTCAACTTAGGATAGTTAGAACATACAGAAGCTTACATTAGTGTGATATTCCATAAAAATGTAAAGCCCCTCTAAACTATTGTGTGCACATACACCACAACAAGCAGTAAATGTTCTTTGCATTTATTCTGATCAATCTGTTTTTCTCCATTCTTCTCTTGAATGGTACCCCAACACGCATAGAAATACAGCTGCCCTTCAGCACACCACAAGGTTCTCACAAATGTGAGTGCAATGTGCATTGGCCAAAAATACTGGAGTTAGAGTTGTCCACTGGTCCACTCAAAGTGAATGGACTGCTTTAACAAAATGTGTTTTAACATATAAAATAATGGATGTTAATGTATGTGTGTGAAGGGGACCTCAAAGCAGAGGTTGCAAAATTATAAAACCTAAGTGTTGTAACAGAAGTGGTCAACCCACTAGACAATCCAAACTCCCATTGGTAAAAATGAGAAGTAGCCAAGACTTAGCACACCCTGTCTCAAGCCTGGTGTAATAATGGGAAAGCCTGTGCTCACTGACTAGAAAAAAGCAGACATGACTACAGTCAAGTTAGGAGCAGGAGTCCATTAGGCTACATTATTATGGCTTTTGTAAAATGGCAGTTATGAGCAGTATTTTGGCTCCCCAACATTGCACCTTGGTGTTATTCTGCTTTTGTAATATGAAACTCAGGATAACATCAAAATATGTTGCATATACTTATATAATTATGTTTACTAATTTATATACCTTAGCACAAGCAAAATACATGTGGTTAATTACCTTAAGCTCCCCTCCCCCTTTGGCATTTTATATATAAATAGAATGTAAAAACATCTACATCTACATTTATAGAGAACCTTAAGCCAGACCCAAGAGCATATCTGAATGATAATTAAAGATGAATTCCAGGTATGGACATTATATACAGTACATAATTACATTGGTCCAGCTTGGACCAATAGTAACTATGGATTTATCATACATGGCCAATCTCCCTTTAAGCTGGAAATCACTGAAGTACACATCGCTAAGTCAACAATTTCCTCTTGCTTCTGGTTCCGGTGCTGAGCGTCTGGCCTTAAGCATTCAGAATACATAAGGTCAGCCTCTCACCATAGGCACCATTCTTTTTCATAGGACGAGGTGAAGAGGTGAGACAGTGAATTCACACTCTCCACCTTGTTGAATTAAAGAATGCTTTGCATTCATTCAGAAATTGCAAAGCATTCTCTGGATGGCGCCCATTTTGAGTGGTCGTCTTCCTGAATTCACAATGCATCAGGCATCCACTCAGCACAGAACCAAAAAGTAAGCGGAGATCACTGAAATAGTGGTGATTCAGTGATTTCCAGCTACCTAGGGCATTGGCCAGGTATAATATATACATAGCCTCCTATGCTCCAAAGGAGAGTTCCAGGCAAAGTATATTTTTACATAGCTATATTGATCCAGCTTGGACCAATGTACAGTGGGGATCGAAAGTTTGGGCACCCCAGCTAAAAATTTGTATTAATGTGCATAAAGAAGCCAAGGAAAGATGGAAAAATCTCCAAAAGGCATAAAATTACAGATTAGACATTCATATATTATGTCAACAAAAGTTAGATTTTATTTCCATCATTTACACTTTCAAAATAACAGAAAACAAAAAAATGGCGTCTGCAAAAGTTTGGGCACCCTTTAGAGTTAATATCTTGTACTGCCCCCTTTGGCAAGTATCACAGCTTGTAAATGCTTTTTGTAGCCAGCCAAGAGTCTTTCAATTCTTGTTTGAGGTATCTTTGCCCATTCTTCCTTACAAAAGTCTTCCAGTTCTTTGAGATTTCTGGGCTGTCTGTCACGCACTGCTCTTTTAAGGTCTATCCATAGATTTTCAATTATGTTGAGGTCAGGAGATTGTGAAGGCCATGGCAAAACCTTCAGTTTATGCCTCTTGATGTAATCCCCCGTGGATTTCGAGGTGTGTTTAGGATCATTATCCATTTGTAGAAGCCATCCTCTCTTTAACTTCAGCTTTTTCACAGATGGCATCAAGTTACCATCCAAAATTTGCTGAAATTTTATTGAATCCATTTTTCCTTCTACTCGTGAGATGTTCCCTGTGCCACTGGCTGCAACACAACCCCAAAGCATGATTGATCCAACCCCATGCTTAACAGTTGGACAGAGGTTCTTTTCATTAATTCTGTGCCCCTTCTTCTCCAAACATACCTTTGCTCATTCCGGCCAAAAAGTTCAATTTTAACCTCATCGGTCCACAGAACTTGTTTCCAAAATGCATCAGGCTTGTCTATATGTTCATTTGCAAAGTTCAAACGATGATTTTTGTGTGTGAGGACGTAGAACAGGTTTTCTTCTGATGACTCTTCCATGAAGACCATATTTGTACAAGTATCTCTTTATAGTGGAATAGTGTACCACAACTCCAGTGTCGGCCAGATCTTTCGGGGGATCGTGCAGTCAAACGTGGGTTTTGAATTGTTTTTTCTCACAATCCTGCGAGCTGTTCTGTCTGATATTTTTCTTGGTCTTCCAGATCTTTCTTTAACTTCCACTGTTCCTGATGACTGCCATTTCTTAATTACATTCCGAACAGAGGATATTGACATCTGAAAACGCTTTGCTATCTTCTTATAGCCTTCTCCAGCTTTGTGAGCGTCAACTATTTTCAGTTTCAGTTTTCTAGACAACTGCTTAGAAGAACCCATGGTGCTGATTGTTGGGGCAAGGTCAGATGAGTCTGGGCATTTAAAACCTTTGAGATTGACATCACCTGGTCTTCCCGATGAGAACAATCCATGACACTGGCAGGTCTCAGCTTTGCAAAGGGGGCAGTGCATGCTATAAATTCTGCAGGGTGCCCAAACTTTTGCAGACGCCATTTTTTTTTTCTGTTATTTTGAAAGTGTAAATGATGGAAATAAAATCTAACTTTTGTTGACATATTATAAGAATGTCTAATCTGTAATTTGATGCCTTTTGGAGATTTTTCCATCTTTCCTTAGCTTCTTTATGCACATTAATACAAATTTTTAGCTGGGGTGCCCAAACTTTCGATCCCCACTGTAACTATGTATATACCAAACCTGGCCTATGCACCTGGAAGCTGGAAATTAACTCTGTCCTGTCATGCAGATTTAATTTCCTGTCCAAGAGACAAAACAGCTAGTAACATTATTTCCAAAGTAAGGGGAAATCCTGTGTTAAACAGCTGTCACAAGAACAGGTCCCCTCACCAGAAGATTTCCTCTCACCTCCTTTTCCAATGACAGCTCTAAAATGTTGGATTTCCCCTCACTTTCTATACCAAGGACAATGGTCACCAGAACAAAGAGAGAGAGGGTTAAACCACACTCATATATAGCCAATCCCATTAGGTTCCACAGAGCACTATCAAGAAGTACAGGTCAATAGAAAATTTGGGAAATAGAATTCAATGACAGCATTGAAAATAATGAGCAAACCACTGTTTGAAGACAATTATTGCAAAGATATTATGATACAGATCATCTCATCTTGGAATCCAATTGTGCAAAAACAACTTAATTCATGATGTTCACTATGCAAACAATAAGAAATATGCATATTCAGAATAAGAAAACCAACCTTCATTTACAGATAAGTTTGATGTGAGAAAAAGCTAAACTTACCTTTCCTTTAGGGCTCTTCTCATTGGCTGGGTACATGAAGATCCCACCATACACTAAAGTCCTGTGAACATCTGCAACCATGGAGCCAACATATCTGGAGCTATATGGAGAGCTTCCATCCTGGACAAGACAGAGGAAACAATTATCCAACCTGATGTGCATAGCAAGGGTCCATAGTTTAAATCTGAGGCCACTGGGCCTCACAGTTGTTACCTTTTTTATTTATTAGCTGTGTAATTATTCACAAATATAAAAAAAATTCAATTTTACTGGTATGCTATTTTTGACTTGAACATGTACTGTATTAGGTTTTCTGACAATGGAAACTAGATCCCAAAATGATCAATTTAAAGAATGAATGATACCTTTTAAAGTTTTTATAGACATCATGAGACACCCTTAATTAGCGGTTTCAGTAGGGCATGAGAGATTTTTGTTATGCCTTACAATGAATAATAAGATATACAAGGACCTCTAGGGTCAATTTTGGACCTCCTTCCCTTTCTCAGTGTGGCTGCATTAATTTAAACAAGTCCACTAAATACAGTCAAGATAAAGAGTAGTATTCTTTCTGCTTAGTCAAGCTTTCATTTTCCTTTTTTATGAATAGAAATAAACAGTACACAAATACTTTCACTTTGCAATATGAAGCAGGCACGCTTTTGGCAGAGAGCCTAGGGTTCCCTTTCTAAATAAACACACATAAACTTCCACTAGGGTTTTCCCCTTATCCAGGTTACAAGACTGATGCAACACAAGGAAATCAAATCCAATTTACAAGGCAGTTTTACTAAACATAAAAAGTCATGATAAAGCCATTATCATTGTCCACTTTGTCCTAACAATTCAAATGTATATTGATATTAAAAAAAGTAGAATGAAAGACTTTGACAGCGTAGGCCATTAATAAATCTGGTCAGTAGTAAGGCTCTAATCAGATCTGTGCAACCCGTGTTCTGCAGGTAGGGCAGCTCATTTATTTGGAATAGGCTGCCCTACCTGCAGATACACATGGAAAAAAAGTAATGGATCCATTTTTTAAATAGTACTGCTTGGAACCACAGGGTGCTGGGGCACCATGTGGTTTTGCGCACATGAAAATACAGGTGTTTTGTTGAGAATTAATGGCACCCCAAATGTCTGCTATCTCTCTTGTATCAGAAATATGCACAATTGTGCGCATGTTCCCAACAAGTAATAGTGTGAACCTAGCCTAAGGAGGCTATAGCAATTATTGAACATGTTGTGTCAACAAGTGATTACTTATGGATATTTCTGTGAAACCAGGAATTTGAATAACAAAAGTATATAAATATTTATTAACCACAAAGTGTATCCAATATCAAAAACAAAGATGTACTATAATGCAGCTTGTCTTTAGATTAACTGGCTGCATTTGTTTTATTTTTCCAGACTTTTTCACCTGATAGTCCTTTAATCAACATATTTCCTGTCCTTGGGTGGCTATGCTTAATCCTTTACTGTGTCCCCAGAAAAAGTCATGTTTACCACACAGGCTGGACTTTAAACATGTCTGCCTTCAATCATCTGCATTACATTAGGGCTGCTGATGATAATAGTAGTTTACACATGAAAAAATAGATGTTTGTGCTTTATTTGCAGCTTCCTGGAAGTGAAAAGGACACAACTTTCTGGTAAGATTAACAGGTGATTTCTGTACTTGCTGAAATTGTTAGCTTGAAAAAAAAAATGAACGCAGCCACCACATATGAGAATCAGTAAGCTGCATTATTTTAAATCTTTGTTTTTTCATTTAAATATGCTGTAAATCTGTCACTTAGACTCTAGATGGTAAATAAAGTATATGAAAAAGTAAAACACTGTTTTAGTTTTGGATTGAGTAATGGTTAAAAATATTACCCACGTTGGATTTTATTTTTTATTTTGCTCTCTCTTCTGTCAAGATTTAATTTCCTGTCCAAGAGACAAAAGAGCTAGTAAAATTCTTTCCAAAGAGAGGGCAAATCTTATTATGAAGAGCTGTCATTAAAACAGGTCTCCTCATCTAAAGATTTCATCTCACTTCCTTTTCCTTTGACAGCTGCAAAATGTTGGATTTCCCTTAGCTTCCTGTAGGAAGGACAATGGTCACCAGAACAAAAAGAGAGGGTGAGTCTCTCCAAAGGGAGCACAGAGAACAAAGAGTCTCAAGGTCCTCTCCCTCTGTTTCCCTTCATACCCCCTCCTACCATTTTCCATCCTTACTTCTTTTCTTGTTCCAAGATTCAAACTCTTCTATAACTTTGGTACTGATCAAGATAACAATGACTTGGCAGTTCACCTCAACAAAGCCAACCATACATAGATCGAAATTGGGCCAGTTAAGTATGGGAAAGTTGGGTTTACAGAAGTCAATCTACCAATGACTTCTACACAACCAGCCTGTTGGATTTTCCTTGCTCAATCAGCCTGGCAGGTTCTAACCAGCAGCACTAATCCGTGTATTCTGATGGCGGGGAGTCTCCCACTGTCAGAATACAATAGCTCAGCGAGGAAAATTCCCCCATCCACATCATGTGTGTGGATGGGGGAATCAAGTCAGTTTTTTTGTTCAACCCACTGGTTTTACGGCAAAAAAAAGACAAATCTATGTTAATGAATCATATACACTCATGGGCCACTTTATTAGGTACACCTTGCCAAGAAAATATCCCCCACACCGTTACCGTTACACCACCAGCCTGAACTATTAATACAAGACAGGATGGATCCATGCTTTCATGTTGTTCATGCCAAATTATGACTGTTACCTTTCTATCATCTCGAACCAGCCTGCACATTATCCTCTGACCTCTAACATCAACAAAGCATTTTTTTCCACACAACTGCTGCTCACTGGATATTTTCCCTTTTTCGGACCATTCTCTGTAAACCCTAGAGATGGTTGTGTGTGAAAATCCCAGTAGATCAGCAGTTTTTGAAATACTCAGATCAGCCTGTCTGGCACCAACAACAATGCCACATTCAAAGTCACTTAAATCCACTTTCTTCCCCATTCTGATGCTTGCTTTAAACTTCAGCAAGTCATCTTCACCACGTCTAGATGCCTAAATGCACTGAGTTGCTGTGATGTGCTTGGCTGATTAGCAATTTGTGTTACTAAGCAATTGAACAGGTGTACCTAATAAAATGGCCAGTGAGTGTATATGGGTAATCTTTGGGTAGTAAAGTTGACTTGTGAATGTTCTTTTGGCCAATGCCAGGTCTCTTGCTGTCTGTGTATTCAGCTATCTTTTTTGTAACTAAAACATCACTAAAAATGTATGAAAACAGAAAAACAAGACAATCGTTCTAACTTTTCTCCAGTATCCAAAACTAAAAACAAACTCTTTTCAAAACTTAAATACATTTTCCTTTTGGATATTTCAGATGTCAGGTTGTATTGTGACAATGTTTATTTTAAATGTACAATTGCACACCTGTTTCCTGGGATCATTCTGTATTTCCCAAGCTAATCTCTATCTAATCACACTTTATCATACACAAATATACTACATCATGAGTTGGTATCCTTATTGTAGTGGGGACATAGGACAGAAAAGGCACTTGCTTTTCCCAGGAGCTTTGTGAACTTTGTATCAGATAGAAGGCGTGAGCCTCTGTATTGTGCCTTCATACAGCTTGTCTCATACCACAGCCTGGGTAGGTCGTAGAAGGTCGCTTAACAAGATAGCTGTTATCTCCCAACTCAGATCATTACTGAAGCTAAAACCTATTTCTTTCACAAGCTCACCACTTTAGAGCAGTCATATAGAAAATGGGTAAAGATTAATGACATATGGCCAGAGCTGACTTGCCCCACCTGTCTACTTACAGCAGATTGTTTTATTTCCAATGAAAAGCAAGGTTTGTCCCATGCAAACTGATTGTAGCCAGGATAGAATTCATGTTTGATGTTTTGACATATTTGCCATTTCGTTTGCAATTCTAGTTGAAATTTAAAATTTTGCAGATATCATGGATCAATGTGCCTTGTGACAGATTTCAATTACTTACCGGAGGAAACTTCTTGTTTTGTAAATATTCTGTTAATACCGGATCAAAGTATTTGGCATATCCCTCATTGAGACTGTAAATCTTGCCCTTCTTTTTTATTGTCACATTTTTCTCAACTAAAATAAATTCTCCCAGAGCCTGAAAGAAAACAGCAGCATACAATTAAGTTTAGTGTATAGTTTAATGCTCCGTGTTCTGTGATCCCTGCATTACTTTAAAAATAATAATGTCATGTATGCTGCAATCTGAGCGTCAATATGGGGCATTTGTATCTGTACCACAGCAAGCATGACATGAAACCAACCAGTTATGTTCTTATTTAACAGGGAATAGCAAGTAGAAAAAAATAAACCATGGCCACCAATCAGACTTCAGCTTCAGAGGAAGAAAAACTATTGAATAATGCTTTCTGCCATCAATGTCCTACAGTACAATTTGTTAAAAATGCTGCAGGTTCTTTAACCACTTCCAGTCCGGACACTTTTACCCCCTTCCTGTCCAGGCCAATTTTCAGCTTTCAGTGCTATCACACTTTGAATGACAATTGTGCGGTCATGCAACACTGTACCCATATGAATTTTTTAGCATTTTTTTGAGACAGATAAAACTTTATTTTGGTGATATTTTTTCACCACTGGGATTTTTTTTTTTTTTTTTTGCTATATAAATGAAAATGTCCAAAAATTCTGAAAAAGAGTTTTTCTTATAAAATTTTGCAAATAAATAATCTTTCTTCATAAATCTTGCCCAAACTTTATTCAGTTATCTTTTTAGTAAAAAAAATAACCCAAATTAATTTATAACCAAAAATTATAATTAAAAAAAAAATTTTTACATTTTTTTTTATATTATTATGTATGTATTTTTTTTTTTAACATACTGTCATTCTAGCAGTACAGTGTCACCATAGTGACACTGTACTACTTGTGGGGGGTGATGAAGATTTTTTTTTTTCTTTTTACACTGATTGCTTTTACACCCATAAAGGCTGTAAAAGCAATAATTTCTGCTTCTCTCTGACTGCATTCTTGCAGCCATTGAGAAATACTGTGAGAGCTGTGATTGGTCACAGCTTGTCACAAGGTACAAGGCTGTTGTGAATAGCCTTGTACCATGTGGTCTCTGTGATCATTCACAGATTTCACACGTAGTAAGCAATGATGTCAGAAGTGACATCTTGCTTACTACTATTCGTGTGATCACTGATTGGCCAATCAGTGATCACATGATCGGGACCTCACACAGAGGTCCCTTACAGCGATTGGTGTTCCGCTGTGTGACACAGCGGGCACAGGATCGCGGTGACATGCGCTCCATGGGAGCGCGCAAAGTCCAAAATGGTGGGTGCCATTTATGAACTGCAACCCACCCCTGCACTGCCAACATCCAGCTGTTTATATACAACAGCCGGGCGGGAAGTGGTTAAACGATATCTATCTAAATTAAGTGTATAGCTGAACACATATAATAGCCTTATGCAAATGTCATAACTACCCTTATATATAACTAATACTGCATAGGACAAATTGTAACCTGCCTGTGTTTCTTACTAATTTTTTTTTTTAAGTCCGCAAACGTGCAACTATAACGAAAAAACCCGTAAGTGTTCACAAAAAAAGTGCAAGTGCAAAACACCACACGAAAAAGTGCACTTAGGGGTGTGCTTTTGTCCTACCCCTAAAGGGGCTGGACTGCTACTCTGATCCCCCGAGGCACGAAGCTCCTGACAGGGACAAGGTTCCCATTTGGTCCTCCTGGCCAAAAGGCCTGGTGGACCACCGTTCCTTGTGTCCAGCCGAAGCCGGACACCCAGTACTTGGTCAGGGGGCTCTCCCGAAGAGAAAACCCCCTAGGGATCAGGGGAGGAAGGAACCAAAAGGCCACACATCCTCCCCCTCGACTTCAGGGCAGGCCCAAGGACCCACACCCTCCATCCTGTGAAAACACACACATAAGTAAGAAAAAGTGACAAAACGTGGGAGTGAAATAAATTAAATAAATAGAAAATAAAAAAAGTGGCCGAGCCAAATTGTGCACAGACCAGGCCCTGAGGCCTGTAGCAAAAATTGCCCTGGTCCTAGCCAAAAGGCCTGGTCCTAAGGGCGCTTGTGCAAAAAGAGTGAAAACACAGTGACCTTGTGCCATCTGCACACTGTGGGGTCCCACACCCAGATGTTACTAGTGGCACCCCTGAGGGCGTCTACTCAGGGGGCACTGGTTTGCGGACTTTCTGCCTTCCCGACCCCTGGCCAGACAAGGTAGATCCGTCCAAATCAGGAGGTACTGGGTCCTTCCGGTCTCCTCGGGGGAATTACTCCCAGGTCCCAGCTACGTGTGGGCATCCCGGTTTCTGTCCTCCCGGTACTAGCATTCCAGACCCCCATCATACCAGCAGGGGTACTATACAACAGCCATCCCCGCAAAGCTAGAATGGCCGGGAGCACCCCCACTGGACACTGATAAGAACAGATACTACACTTGATCTTAGCCAAAAGGCCGAGAAGCGATTCACATTAAATATAAATCAAGAATTTATATAAGAATCAATCAATTCTTGATTTATATTTAATGTGAATTTTTTATTTATATTTAATATGAATTTTTTGATGCATATTGATTATATTTTTTAATTTTACACTAATACGGATATTATACATTAGGTGATATAGGGTGGATCACAAATTAATATTTAATCATGAGTTATCAATATATTTGAATTTGCACAGATAATATACACTTTCCCAATGATATGATAGTTATTTATCCATAAAATGCCTGTACATACTACTGCAGTTCTAGTCTAAAAGGGCAAGGAAGCTTCTATGATGAATAAAAACAGACCTACCCACATTAATATAAACTGTACAATGATGTTCTTGCTTGGCCCAGTCTTTCATGTGCGGAAACCTATAGAAATGCCTACAGACCACAGAGGCCAAGAAACTTTGTTGTCATACTTACAGGATCCAACATGAAGCAGTCCACTCCTTGACCAGTAGACAGTGCTACAAGTGTTGCACTTCCATATAGCGCATAGCCAGCTGCTACAATGTTACGTCCAGGTTGTAGGGCATCTTCCTCGCAGGGTTCTGTTTCTGTTGTCTATAGTAGAAAGAACTCTGTAAGTGAGCAATACATACTAATATTATCTACAGAAACAACTCTGGCTGAGAGGAAGATCAATGTAAATAAAACATATATATTGGTAACTAGGGATGAGCAAATCTGCCTGGGTTTGGTTCGATAACAGTTTAGCAAATCTTGCTTGAAGTTTACAAACTTTGCGTTTAACTCCTTTGAAGTCTATGGGGAGGTGGATGTTGTTTCCCAATTTTGGTCATTTTTAATGTTATTAAGCAAGCAATTGTCAAAAAAAAGGTATGGGAAGCTGAACACTGCCATGACAGACATGGCAAAATAAAAAAAAGCAAACAGTGCCATTCATCCATGCACAGAATTGTCAGCTTTCCCTATCAGCCCCAACACACACACACTGACACTATGACTTCAGTGTGGCACAGTGTCTTAATGGTTAGCATGTCTGCCTTGCAGTAAATGGGTTATAGGTTCGATTCCAAACCATGGCACCTCCTGCATGGAGTTTACATGTTCTCCCTGTGCTTGTGTGGGTTTCCTCCAGGTACTCCAGTTTCCTTCCACACTACAAAGACATGCTGGTAGGTGAATTTGATTCCTGTCCAAATTGGCCCTAGTATGTATAAATATGAGTTAAGGACCTTAGATTGTATACCCCCTGAGGGTTAGGGACTGATGTGAATGTACAATATATATATGTAAATTGACAGTGCTACATAAGTACCTGAAATAAATACTGTGAGCCCTGTTGACACCTATGCAGTGTGCTGTGCATTTTTCTACACGCATTTTTGCGATTTGTTCAGCTTTTTTTTTTTGTTAAAGTGGAATTTTTTTTGTTGCTGGGCAGAATAAAAATGCAAAATGAAGCAAAAACGCACTACCGTGTATTTCAGCAGCTTCTCCATTGAACTCTATTGTAGCAAAAATGCTGCTTTTTGCTTTCAAAAAGTCCCTGACTCTTTCCAAAAATGCAGCATCTCAAAAAAGCATAGATGTGAACATGTTGCATAGGAAACCATGTTAAATGGACTGTAGTGCGTCCATTTACAGTCCATTTGTAGCAGGCTGTGTTATATATTCTTTCAAATAACTGGCACTTGTGACCAGAGAAAAAGGCTATGCACTGCATTCGCGAACTTTACGAATCCGATGGATTTATTGTGAACCTATCCCAAGTGGTATCAATCTGAAAGCCTTCAGCAATTGCACTAATGTATTTTCTAGAATATACTGTAGGTTGAGAAATGAGCTGATTAGTTATACAGCATACACATGATTGTGGGACTCCACTCTGTTAATCCAAATTCTTCTTAAATAGTAATCCTTAGCAAAAGTTTACAAATGACCTGAAACTTTATTTTTTAAATTAGGATGACTGTAATGGTTCTTAAAAAAAATAGAAAATAAATAATAAACATGTTATACTTACCTGCTCTGTGTAATAGTTTTGCACAGAGAGGCCCCAATCCTCCTCTTCTGGGGGTCCTCTTCTTTTTGGTCTGCCACCATAGGAAGCTGCTTTCTCCGTCGCCCTCGGGATTCTTTCTTGGTTACACAGAATATAACTGGTTACTATTTATAGGTAAGGTTGATCCAGGGAATATCTGATTGCCTCTCGGGGGATCAGGACGGAATTTTTTCCCATGCAGGAGCAAACTGGATCATGCTTTGCTGGGTTTTTTGCCTTCCTCTGGATCAACTGTGGGTGTAGGGTTATAAAGTTTTTTTTTTAATGGTTGAAATGGATGGACTTTTGTCTTTTTTCAACCAGACTAATTATGTAACTATGTAACTATGGTGTAAAATGTGCAGGCTCGATCCAGCTGGACTGTGTGTGTCTTTTTACCCCTTCCCTCATCACTGGATTTGATTGACAGCACCAGGAGCCAATGGCTCCCACTACTCTCACTGAGTCCAGTGAGGAGGGAGAGAAGGAGCAGCACAGTGCTGGATCAAGATTGGGCTCACGTAAGTATTTAGGGAGGGCTGGAGAGGGAGCTGCATATAAAAGGTTTTGTTTTTTTTACCTTAAAGCAGAGAATGCATTAAGTTAAAATTACTGAAGGTTTTACAATCACTTTAATGCAGTCCAGGAATTGACTGCACTGACCGACACCATGACTTGTGAAAATACTACCGATACCTTAACCAATACTTTGCAATGTAATTTGTGTTAATCGATGCAAACTGCACCACAAAGATTAGCATGGTCAGCAGCTGACCAATCAGATGCCATCTAGCCCGAATTGTCATCACTGCAAGTGAAGGAAATAAATCGGTGGGGATTTGAATTCCCCGCCACTTTCTTCTCCTCTTCTACCGCTGAGACTCAGCATGGGATGCCTGCAGGAAAGTTTCCCACACCGCTCCTGTGTGAACTTGGGCTATGACAAGCCTGGGAGCACACAGGAGCAGTGGGGAAACCGCATGCGATTTAGACAGGAATCGCATTCTTGTTCAAATTGCATGCTATCCTTTGTGCTGCAATCTGTGCCCATTAACGCAAATCACACCACAAAGTATCGGTACTTGGTATCAGCGAGTACTTGACTGAACGTATCAGTACTCATACTCGCCGATAAAAAAACGGTATTGGTGCATCCCCGATTTCCAAGTTCATTGCCACCTTCTTCCGGGTCATTCTTTGCTTCTGATCATGCAGTTTGTTTTGTTCAATTAATTCCATACGATTGCTGCACACATTGAGTGAAAATCGAACGTTGTGTTCATGTACGATAAAGATTTTCTAGCTTGCACCTTTGTTTTTTTTTTTATCTGAACAGTAGGAATTGGCCATCGAAAGCACTACACTAAGGATCAGATAATTGACCGACTGTTTCTTGGAATTTTTCTTCTGATTTTCTTAGGCTGCTTTCACACTGAGGAGTTTTTCAAGCATTTTTGCGTTAAAAAAAAAGCACTCGAAAAGCTCAAGAAAACTGCTTCCCCATGTTTGTGAATGTATATCTATGTGTTTTCACAGTGAGGCTTGCGCTTGCGGTGCGGTGTAAAAACTCCTGCTTGGAGCACCTTTGGGGGCATGTTTGGAGAGTTAAAAAATGCCCCAAAAATGCCTCTTCCCATTGAAATCAATGGAAAAAACGCCTGAAAGCACCTTAACCACTTCCGGTCCAGCCCATGTATATATAAATGACTGGACGGGAGCATTGAAGGAGCGGTGGCCATTTATAAACGTCCTCCCCGCTCCCCGCCTGTGTGCGCTCCCTGGGAGCACGCGACACCATGATCCGGGGCCTGCTGTGTCCTCCGGACACAGTGGAACACAGATCGCTGTACGGGACCTCTGTGTGAGGTCCCAATCATGTGATCACTGATTGACCAATCAGTGATCACATGAATAGTAGTAAGCAAGATGTCACTTCCTGACATCATTGCTTACTACTTGTGAAATCTGTGAATGATCACAGAGGTCACATTTTACAAGGCTACTCACAACAGCCTTGTACCACGTGACAAGCTGTGACCAATCACAGCTCACACAGTATTTCTCAATGGCTGCAAGAATGCAGAGAGAGAGAAGGAGAAATGATTGCTTTTACAGCCTTTATAGGTGTAAAAGCAATCAGTGTAAAAAAAAAAAACTTCATCACCATGGTGACACTGTACTGCTAGGGTGACAGTATGTTAAAAAACTTTTTTTTTAATTATTATTTTTGGTTACAAACTAATTTGGGTTATTTGTTTTTTTTACTAAAGATATAGATGAATACATTTTGGCCAAGATTTATGAAGAAAGATTATTTTTTTTTTTCAAAATGTTTGGACTTTTTCATATATATAGCAAAGAAATAAAAATTCCAGTGGTGAATAAATACCACCAAAATAAAGTTTTATCTGTTTCAAAAAAATGCTAAAAAATGTATATGGGTACAGTGTTGCATGACTGCGCAATTCTCATTCAAAATGTGATAGCGCTGAAAGATGAAAATTGTCCTGGACTGGAAGGGGGTAAAAGTGTCTGAACTTGAAGCGGTTAAAAACACCTCTGAGAAGCGTTTTTGGTGCAGTTTTAAGTCACGTGTCCTTTAAAAACTCCCAGAAAGCATGGCAAAAGCGCGGTAAAAAATTCCTATGCGTTTTTGCGGCGGATCCAAGGACGGACTAACCATTTGGAAACTCGGGTGCTGCCCGAGGGCCCGGGGTCAGTAGGGGGCCCATGAGATACCCCTGTACCTTTTTCATAGGCTTTTTTGAGTGTGGGCAAGGACACAGGGGCCCCATGATCCCCTATTGCCCGGGGCCCCATGAGTTGTCAGTCCGCCCCTGAGTGGATCAGTGTGAAAGTAGCCTTATAGTGTGTATCCAGCTTTGAGGCTGCTGCTGGGTGCTATCATGGATGTGATGTCAGCAGTCCCAGCAGACTCAGAGCTATCATTCAAAGGATACTATAATATTCTCCTTTGCTACTCCCCTGGCAGATACTTGAAAGGTTATGTAGGGAGATGAGGAGGGAGACAAGGAGGGAGATGAGGGGGAAGATGAGGAGGGAGATGAGGAGGGAGATGAGGGTGAAGATGAGGGGGAAGGGTGGAGATGTTGGGCCTGCACAGACAGTAATTAGACACCACCAGAAGAGGAAAGGGCAAAGATGTACAAAGAGAGTCAGGGGCTAGGGAACTGATACTTTCTGGAGTAGTTACATCAACTTAGGAGGCACATTGCAAATACAAAAAAAAAACAATTAATGGAAAGGTAAAATGCTGTAAATACGCATCTAACAGAGATGATATTTGGTGCTTTTCACTGAAATTTGCAAGCTAATGATGACCTCCCTTAAGAAGAAATCAGGAAACTAGTAGGTCAAGGATGGCAAACGATTTATTTCTCCTTTAAGTTGATGTTGTTGTCCTAGAAAGCACCTTACTCGCTTTGCTTTTTCCATTTTGCCATGTTCCCACCTAGGAGCCATGGCTCTTTGCATATTTGTAAGAAGGGAAAGATGTTTGAGGGAAAACGTAGGGGCATCCCCAGTGTAAGCATTG